CCTGAAGAAGATGAACCCCCAAAATAGGCACTGTACATTTACACTGGTGGGCCATGTTGTTTGTACTTTGGTTGAGGGAAAAGTTTGAGCTTATATAGTTATATGTTTATGGAAAAATGTGCTATTGTCAGATTTCAATATGAAATTTTTAATAATGAACTGTGCTTATTTTTGCTGTATGGACAACATTGGAGCCAAAATAAGCTTATTTTTGCTGTATGGACAACATTTGAGCCAAAATAAGAGCTTATTATACTCAGTTCATTATCAATATATTCAGCTCATGATCAAATGAGCTGAATATATATCGAGACATCTTCTGATTTCATGGAAGCCATATCTGTATGAAAAAGATTCACCACGAGTAAAAATATCCTATTGGTTTCCTCTGGGTTGACTATTGGACTATTTTCTATATTATCTATTTCCTTCACTCCAATTTCCAGTCCGTGTGCTCTGGGAGCAATTAATTTTGTACTACCGTTAATTAATTGTTGAACCACCTTGAACCCTAAGTGACCTGTATTTATTAGTTTCGACTTTCGTGTTTCTTGCCCATAACCATCTGTCTTATCTCTATCTTTTCAGGTGCATGTGCCGCCTGTTTGCATGCTTGATGGAGTTCACTCTCAACATTTCTTTGGAACAGGGGTTATAATATATCATTCTGAACGTCTGGGTCTGGTTGCAGTTGATAGGAATACGGTTGCTGTATCTATCTCTGATATAATGCTTTCATTTGCTGCATATCCCATTGAAATACCTGGAGAGGTATGAGTATTTTTTGTTCTCAATTATAAAAGCTAAAGCACACAATTTTTCAATTACATATATATAATTTGCTTTTCAGGTTGTTTTCCTCCATCCTGTTCACAACTTTGCCCTGGTCGCTTATGATCCTTCTGCACTAGGAGCTGGAGCATCTGTTGTCCGGGCTGCTAAGCTTCTACCAGGTTTGTTTCTTTTACAGTGTCTCCATGTATTTCCAATATTATCTGAAGAGAAACAGGTTTTCGCTTCATTCCACTTTGTTGAGCTTAATCATGTTATACCCTTAAACAGAGAGTGGGATAGTCACTGAACTTTTCATTTTGCAATTAGCATGCCTTACTTTATTGTAATAATGAGCTTGATCATATCATACCATTAAAAGAGTACATAGTCACTGAACTATTCATTTCCAGTCGGGATGTCTTTTCCACAATGTGGTCCATTTTACTTTTTTTTAAAAGAAACTTTGTTTCTGTGTAGAACCTGCTTTGCGACGAGGAGATTCTGTCTATCTAGTTGGGCTTAGTAGAAGCTTACAGGCAACATCAAGGAAATCAATTATAACTAATCCTTGCACAGCTGTTAATATTGGGTCAGCTGATTCTCCTCGATACCGTGCAATAAATATGGAGGTCATTGAGCTCGATACTGGTACTTCCTAAGGAAATTTCACTCTGATGGATCATGTTCTAATTTTTCGGGTTGACTATATTGGATTTTTTTTTTTTTTAGATTTTGGTAGCACATTTTCGGGCATATTAACTGATGAGCAAGGAAGAGTTCAAGCATTATGGGCTAGCTTTTCTACCCAGGTTAGTTTGCACTGAGTTCTTTGCTTCGTCTGTTTCTCAAGTAATAGTGCTGGCATGCTCCCAGGAACGCGCACACAAAAGAATAAAGAAAAGAACAAAACGCCGGCTTACGGGCAAGGTTAGCTGCGTGATATTTCTAACATCAAGTAAATGTGTAATAACAGTAAACTTTGAACTGCTAGTAAAATAATCCAAACTGTTTACGTGTTAACTAATCGAGATTGAATTTGTAGTGCACCAGCCACTTGCACTAATAACCTTTTACTATATGGATTTTACTAGTAATTAACAGCCATTAGTCTTAGCCTAACGATACATCTTCTTGAATAGTTAAAGCTGGTCGTTTACTCACTTCTCTGTATGCTTAGTACTATTAACTAACTGGTGTACGACCCAACAACAACAACAACAACAACAACAAAGCCTTTTAAACTGGTGTATGACCTACTCTTTTTTCTCTCCAGTTGAAATATGGTTGCAGTAGCTCAGAGGACCATCAGTTTGTTAGAGGCATACCAATATATGCAATAAGCCAAGTACTTGAGAAGATTATCTCTGGAACTCAAGGACCTTTTAGGCTTATCAACGGAATAAAGAGGCCAATGCCATTTGTCAGACTTTTGGAGGTGGAACTATATCCAACTTTGCTATCCAAGGCAAGAAGTTACGGATTGAGTGATAACTGGGTGCAGGTAATCTGATCTGATTTTATTTTTAAGTTCTAAATATTCTGTATTCTTTGTGATCTGCAAATATGTTTATACTGCTACCTAATATCGTATGAATATTTTAGAAGTTTTTGCTCACAACAACTTTTGGAACTACTCAAGTAGTTATCAAATTTGGGTTATGGCCCCTTGTGCCCTGTGTTACCTGCAAGTACAGAAAATTTTGCTCACAGCAACTGTTGATATTCCACTGTGATTACGTTTTCAGGCCCTTGCGAAGAAGGATCCTGTGCGTAGACAAGTCCTGCGAGTGAAAGGTTGTTTGGCTGGATCGAAAGCAGAAAATCTTCTAGAGCAGGGAGATATGATTCTTGCTATCAACAAGGAGCCAATTACATGCTTCCTTGACATTGAGAAGGCTTGCCAAGAGTTGGACCAATCCATTGGGTCAGATGGAGTGCTTAACATGACAATATTCCGTCAGGTTAGGATGACGTGACAGAAATTAATAAAAGAAATTCAGCAGTATAGATTGTAACTCTTTAAACATTTGAGCAGGGAAAAGAAATCGACCTTATTGTTGGAACTGATGTAAGAGACGGCAATGGTACAACCCAAATGGTTAATTGGTGTGGATGCATTATCCAGGATCCTCATTCAGCAGTGCGTGCACTTGGCTTTTTGCCAGAAGAAGGTCATGGTGTTTATGTTGCTAGGTGAGATTCCCTTACAAAGTTGTGTATGCAATATTAAAAGCATCTTTAATCAGTGATGATAAACATTTCTTCAACTTAACATTTCAATCTGCAAGTGTTTATCTACTAAAGAGTTCGATCTGCCAAATTTATTCTGGCCACTGCTTGTATCTGACATTAGAATTAGATGAAAACTGTTTGCTGAATGCTCATCGAGTCCAGCATGTAGGGGCTGTAGTTCTCTCAAGTAACAGATAGCTTAAAGAAAGACGGAGAGAAGAGCTTAAGAATGAATGCTATGTTAGCGTGCTAAACGAGTCTATTTATCATTTGGATAGAAAATAGAGGGATGCCATCTGTTTTCTCATTTAGGCGATAGAGCTTCAAAAGCAACCAGAATAATGGATAATATTGTCCGTTTTCTATTTGTTTGTATACTTCATGTTGTTTGTTTCTGCATGTGTGGTTAGGTGGACATAATCTATTATTTACACGATTGTATAGTTGATTCTGAATGATAGCTCATTTAGATATGTCTGGGAATGAGCACTAAGCAACAATGATTTTATGCAGATGGTGTCATGGAAGTCCGGTACATAGATATGGCCTCTATGCTCTCCAGTGGATCATCGAAGTTAATGGGCAACCAACAACGGATCTGGAAACCTTTATACAGGTGGTGAAGGTATGTACTATGCATCAAGTGGCAAATGCACCCTTTGTTATTTTGCAGTCTTTGCTTGCTTGTTTATCACTGTGTTGTATATTAATTGAGCAATTGCTTTACTATGTTGCTACATGATTGTTTTGAATTAATGTCTGAACTATTCGTTTGATTAGGGTCTCGAAGATGGTGAATTTGTTAGGGTGAGGACTGTCCATTTGAATGGAAAGCCTCGCGTACTTACTCTAAAACAGGACCTTCACTACTGGCCGACCTGGGAGCTCAGCTTTGAACCAGAAACTGCTACATGGCGGAGGAGAATAATAAAAGCATTGCAATCAACTAAGGCGTGATATTTTCATGTTTTGCTGCGACATTTTCATGCTTTCAGAGGAGCATATAGGTAAGGAAATTAGAGGTTCATGCCTTGGTTTGGTAAGCATAAATCCTGCATCATGCAGGATTAAGCTACCCTGCACTTTGTAGGGTTAGTTGTGGGCATTAGCATAGGGGGTACTTGAAGGATATATAGCAAGTACTTCATTGAAAGTATATGGATTCACTGTCTGTGGTCTCTGGACAATTTGACCACAGGATTTGCCTTTTGTATATCGTCTATTCCTATATTTTGGTAGAAAAAGAAATAAATCGTTAGCGTTTCTAGCGGTCATTTCACTACTCTGCATTAAGAATTTGTGTTAACAGCTCCACAGATTTAGTACGTTGTTCTTCGTTATACCACACTGCTTTCAGCTTGATTGCATAGTTACTGGAATGCCTACCGACAGTTTCGTCAGTTTTGACTCTACTTCATCGCCTACATCTGTTGTAAGTTCATTACTCATTTATCCTGGCTAAAAAGTTTGCTGGCCTTCACATTACCAAGCAACTCGAGCTAAATTGCACTTTGCTGTGTAAGACAACGAGAAGGAACGCAAGTAGAGTAAACAGACTAACAACTCAAGTCTATCTCTGCAAGCTCGCCGCACCTTTTTTTATGCTGCGCTTGACAAATGTGCGCCATGCAGTCACCGTCCTGCCCTCTGGAGGCGGCGTTTTCCACTGGAATATATTCGGCCACCACTTGTTCGCTCAGACTTATATCCACGAAAACGAGGACCATCCCTTTATATTTCTTGCGCCACTACGGCCGATGCCTTCCGCCGAGGAAAAAAGAAGCGTGCCCGTGTTTAGGTACCACCAGATCATTGTTGTTGGATTCTTTCTTTGCTAGTAGGTGTCCCTTCTCCTATAAGGCCCGCCCTTTCCATTCCGCCACCGTGAACTGGAGGAGCGAGCAATGTATCCCGCTCCGGAACGCGCATCGGCACACACACGCCAACGGCACCACCACCACCATCACCATCCGGCGAGGTAGGGAGGGAGCGACATGGGCTGCTATCCTCCCCTGGGCAAGATCGTGTCTAAAGCGCTCGGAAAATGCAACGGTGCGTGCGAAGCTCTTTGCTTCACTTCGTTTATATGCTTCAGCTTTACTTCTGATAGTTGGTAGTTTTCGTGCTCGTAGTAGAGTGTAGGCTGCTGAGAGCTGAAGCTTGCATGGCTAACGGCTACCAGCAAGCAACTGCCATCTTGTGCAGTCAGCGCTTACACTCGGAAGTGCTCCTTTCTTTGTCAACAGCTCGTTATGATTTGACTCCTCGCTATTTCGAATCAACTCAATCAAGGGTTTGGTCTCTGTAATCGAGCTAGTTCGTCTTCCAAACAAGAAAAGACAGGAAAAGTAAAATACAACTGATGAGTCGTGACAAATTAAGAGTTGCTCACGTGCAGGGCGCGAGAGATGGAGGGAAGGGAGGCTGGACTTCGATTACGCCTTGGCCTACCCGCCTGGCCCGCCCACGGAGATCCGCTACGTGCGGCCGGTGGCGCGCACGGTGACCTTCGCCAGCAACAACTCCATCTACGTGATCCCACCGTCGCCGCCGCCGCAACCGCAGCCGCAGCCGCAGCAGCAGAGCACACCAGAGCCCCAGCAGCCCCAAACACCGCCCCGACACGAGCCCGAGCAGCACCAGGATACACCCGAATCCCAACCTCCTCGACCCCAAACCGAGCAACCAGAGCAACCCGAGCCACCCGCGCAAACGCAAGACGCGCCGCCACAGGCCGAGCCGAAGCCGCCAAAGGGCCCGAAACGAGGCAAGAAGAAGCAGCCCGGCCGCGTCCGGTTCGGCCCGGAGCCTCCTCCCCCTCAGCAGCAACAGGAACAAGCACAGCAGGAGCACGCGCAGGGCCCGGGCAACATCGAGAAAGCGCCGGATCAGTGGCCTCACGGTGCGTCCCCCGCGCCAGCGCCCACGCAGGGGCAGGGGTACCTGCTCCGGTACACGCCGTCGCCGCTGCCGAGGTGGGAGGCGACGCCGCGGCGGCACGAGTACTTCTCCGGGGAGTACCGGAGCTACTACCCGACGCCGGTGCGCGAGGGCATCTACCGCATCGCCACTGACGCCAACAGGCTCACCACCATCTTCAGCGAGGAGAATCCCAACGCCTGCACGATCGTCTGAGAGCGACGGCGAGGAATAAACCGTTCCACTCGTGCAACCACTTACGTCTCTTTCTTTGGTTCTTGGTTGATTGGTGACGGAATCATTAGCCAAGAATCTGGTTCTTCTTGTAGGTGTTGTAGATAAGAAAAGCAGGAAACTTTCGGTCCGGCTGGTTGATGAGATGTATGTTAACGCTCCTTTTGCCTTGGATTGTCGTTGTCCTCTTACGTTTTGATAGCCTTTATACAAAGCAGCTACTTCCTCCAGTAAATAAAAATATATAAGTCGTGTAGGTTTATCTAAGTCAATTTCCTTTATTTTAGTTTAGACATCATAATTCAAGATTTTATAGATTGAACATAAGATCTCCACCTAAATGGTAGGCGCTTCACTTGGTCTAATGAGAGGGACCAGCCCACCCTCGAGCGTCTTGATCGTTTGCTTGCTAATGCGGACTGGCTTCAGGCCTACCCAAATCATGTTCTCAAGGCGCTCTCGACAGATTGTTCTGATCATTGCCCGCCGCTGCTGCTAGCGGATGCAGTCCCATGGGCAAAGAAACGGTTCCGTTTTGAACCGCACTGGTTAAACATACCAGGCTTCATGGAGGTGGTTGGTTCGACTTGGGCAGCAACGTTGCTGCATGCTGATCCATTCCGGATCCTTGACTACAACCTCAGGAATGTCGCGAGGGCTTTGAGAAGTTGGAGCGACAAGAAGGTGGGCAGCGTGCGGCTCCAGCTCGCCCTGGCCAGGGAACTAATCTTGCATCTGGAGGTGGCCCAGGAAGCGAGGGCGCTCTCGGCGCCTGAGGCCCAACTTAGAAAGTCGCTGAAGGTAAGGGTTCTTGGGCTTGCGTCTTTGGCACGCTCTATGGCCAGACAGCGTTCCAGAATGCTATTCCTTGCTGAAGGTGATGCGAATACCAAATTCTTCCATCTGATGGCGTGTCACAGAAAACGCAGCAACCACGTCCATTCTCTCCGGGTGCTTAACTCCGAAGTTGTCAGAGATGAAGATATGGCAGAGGCGCTGTTCCAGCACTATGGACAGGTTCTAGGCCAGAACTTTGCCCGCTCGAGAAGGTTTGACCTCGGTGCCATTGGCTTGCCCTCGGTTGAACTATAGGCACTGGAGGTTCCCTTCACTGAGGAAGAGGTCTGGTTGGCGATTTCTGACATCCCAAACGACAAGGCGCCGGTTCCGGACGGGTTCACCGGTCGTTTCTACAAGACCGCGTGGCCTATCATCAAGGTGGATGCCATGAGTGCCTTCAATGCATTCTGGGAGCTTGACACCAGAAGCTTCAATCTGATCAATGATGCGTACATGATCCTGCTGCGGAAAACAGATCAACCGGTTGAGATTAGGGACTACCGGCCTATTAGCCTCATTCATAGCTTCGGTTGAGATTAGGGACTACCGGCCTATTAGCCTCATTCATAGCTTCGGGAAGTTGATCACGAAGTGTCTAGCAAAAAGACTGGGATCGGTGCTTGGTAGCCTAGTTCGGCAAAACCAAACCGCTTTCATAAAAGGTCGATGCATACATGATAACTTCCACTCAGCGCGGCTGTCTTGCAAGGCATTCCATGCCAAGCGCACTCCATGTGTTCTCCTCAAGATTGACATTGCTAAAGCATTTGACTCCGTCGCCTGGACTTTCTTGCTTGAGGTGCTTGCACACATGGGCTTCGGTCAGCGGTGGAGAGACTGGATCTCTTGCATCTTATCCACGGCAAGCACCAAAACCATTCTTAATGGTAGACCGGGGAGAAGAATCTTCCATGCCAGGGGTGTCCGTCAGGGAGATCCTTTGTCACCGATGCTCTTTGTCCTCATCATGGAGGTCCTTAATCACCTCTTCGGTTGGCTGGATGACCAAGGCTTTCTAACGCCTCTTCGGATCACTGGTCTCCCTTCTAGGATCAGCCTGTATGCTGATGACGTCGTCATGTTTGTTGTGCCCAAGGACCAGGACATGCTTGTCGTCAAGGCAGCTCTCCTCATGTTTGGCGAGGCATCGGGCTTATTTTCAAACCTGGACAAGAGTGTGGCTACGCCGATCGGTTGTACCGATCTGGATATGAGCCTGGTCAAGGAAACGTTGTCGTGCAAGGTTGCAAACTTCCCGTGCCGCTATCTTGGTATACCCCTCTCCATCTATAAGCTCAGGAAGGCGGACGAACAGAAGCTGATTGATTCGGTCATGGCTAGGATACCCCAGTGGAAAGGGAAGCTTCTTAATGCGGCAGGGAGGACTGCGCTTGCCAAGGCCACACTGTCCGTCATTCCGGTTCATATGTCGATAGCGCTTTGCCTCTCGGCTTGGGCGCTGGACCAGATCGACAAACGGCGGCTGGCGTTCATTTGGTGTGGAGACCTGGTTGCTAGCGGCGGGGCTTGCAAAGTCGCTTGGCCAACTGTTTGCCGGCCGCGCAATCTTGGAGGGCTGGGCGTCGTGGATTTGCGCCGGGCCGGTATCGCCTTCAGGGCACGCTGGGAGTGGAAGCGGCGCACCATCCATGATCTGATGAAAAGATGGTATCCACATTATTTTGTGCAGCCACTGTTTCGGTCGTGGGCTCCGGGGAGTCGACGCAGTTCTGGACCGATAATTGGATTGACGGCAAGAGCATCCAGGCGTTGGCACCGGCACTCTTTGGGGCGGTGTCGGGAAGACGGAGATGGGTGTTGGTCAGCGACGCGCTTCCTGGACATGCGTGGGTGCGTCACATCTCTGGGGCGTTCACGGTCCAGGTCCTTGCTGAGTTCTTCCAGATTTGGCATAAGCTGCGGCATGTGCAGCTCGTCCCCGGAATTCCGGACGTCTTCCGTTGGCGCCTCACGGCGGATGGTTCCTATTCTTCTGCTTCGGCTTATGGAGCCATGTTCCTTGGGTCATCCAGACCGCTGGGAGCAAAGGAAATCTGGAAGACGTCAGCACCGCCGAAAGTACGCTTCTTCTTCTGGTTCGTAATGCATGATCGCTGCTGGACAATGGAGCGGAGGTTCCGGCATGGCCTTCAGGACTCCGACAGATGTACCTTTTGCGACCAACTCCTGGAGACAATGCACCACATCATCATCGGTTGTGTCTATAGCAGAGAGGTATGGCATTTCATACTTGACAGGCTTCACCTCACTGATGTTATCCCTGTCCAAGAAGAGGATGTCCTGGCATGGTGGCTGCGCAATAGGAAGTTGCTCCAGAAGCATGTGCGGAAGGGGGTTGATTCCCTGTTCTTCCTTATCGGTTGGAAACTGTGGAAAGAAAGGAACGCCAGGACTTTCGGCGGAGAACCCACTCCTCCGGGCAACTTAGCTTGCTTGATCCAGGAGGAGTAGGTTTCAAGCACCTGCTGTCCTTGCTTGCGTTGTTGTAGGCCGTTTGCCTCTGGTCACCAATCGTCCAACTGTAAATTACAATCTCGTGTTGCCGTTGGGCTGTTGAGCCTCAGTAATCACTAGATTACTGCCGCTTTGTCATGTACTTTGAACTTTCTCTTCCGGCTTAATGAATTCCGTGCCAATGCACGTTCGAGAGAAAAAAACATAAGATTCGTATTACTAGGTTTAAAACTATTTTTACTATAACTGTTTCCATTTAAAACAATATATTTTTATAAATGTTGGTCGTCAAAAAGAAGAAACATTTGACTAGGGGCAAATGTACCTTATATTTATTTTTTTCGTGATGGTGATAGCACATTTTTTATTAAGAGGAAGAGATTTACAACAATGCTACTACGAGAGAGCCCTCGTAGCGCAGAGTTACAAAGCATCACGAAGAAGGTGGCAAGCAACCCAACAAATCGAGCCAATACAGCAATAGAAAGAAAAGGCGGTAAGAAGAGGACCATCCACCTCAAACCTAGCCGACTAGACTTGTAGAAGGAAAATTACATCAACGCAAGGTTACCAACAAAGATGAGAATAATTAGGGGTAGTAAAAAATAGCTAGCGCCCAAGCGCAATGTTTGCAAGTGAGATTTGAAAATAATGCTTTGAAAGCAAAATACACTCCATAATCAATCCTCCCTTACCGTTTCTTTCTGAATGGCATCATAAAAAGCGGCACATTCTATTCTAAGCTTGCCCTTGCGGTGGTACATTCGAAAACAGCGATGTACTCCTTATTGCTAATACTACACTATCATTTAGTTAGCACCTAATCGTCTTGTTGAGGAAATCAGCACGCTGGATTATTGGATTGGTCACTTCATCTCTTGGCAGAGGGCACGTCCGGCGTGAGAGATCAGTGGGAAATCAAGAAGTAACAATGAACAGAATAGAGAGCCAAGAACTACTAATAAGCTTCTCCAACTGTTGCTTGGAAAAGAGGATGCCCCCATATGGTCATTCTTTAAACCAAAACAACATTACCGAGTTATATTCTTCACGAAGTCTCGGTGTTCAGTCAAATATAGTTGGCTGACAAAGAGAGATGAAGATTGATAGGCATGCGTTATGTGTGGGTGAGTACGAACAGAAAGAACAAAAAGAGGCGTTGCATGATCGGCCCCTTTCATATCTTCTTAGAGTTGTTGGAAACGAGCATCTATTCCCTATACATCTCCGTATGATGCATTAAGATTATATGACGAGCACATCTCGCCCTTTGTGCATAATCGTTTTTTTATGATACCTTGATACTGCTAATATCTGTATGAGTAATGTACGGGCAGCGTTGAGTAATCCCCTTGCAGCTGCGGATGTCTTGCTACTAGGAATAGGAATATTTTAGTTTCAAAGGTGAAGAATGCCTAGTGCATGTGTATATAAGATTTGTGAGCTCGAACCCTTCAGATTGTATATGCAAATGCATGGATGCTAATGGGGAAACGGTCGGTGTCCCACAGGCCACAGGCTGAAGTGGTGCGTGCCTAATTGGGAATAGTATTAGCTGATACAACTTCAGATGATCAGATCAACCACGCATGATCCTTTTCTTTTAGCAGTGCAAACACGTTTTCTTTGTTGTGGAGCGAGTCGAACACGCACCGACCCATAAGGCC